TTTCTTTTTCTTTTTCTTTTTTCCCCCTCCTCTCAAGCCCAAGCAGCCCCCTCTATTCTGACACGCGCTTCCTCTTCTCCGTCTTCTAGGGGCCAACGAGTACTATTCCGGCTTTGACAACATCGGTCACAACAGTGCCCGGGATCTGATCTTCCTCTGGGTCATCCCCAAGTGAGTCCTCCTTCCTCTCCCCGTCCGCAAAGCTTGACCCGACCGCCGCGCCGCAGAGCTGATACGTGTCGTTTGTGTGTGTGTGTGTGTTATAGTGGTGCCTGGCTGGTTCTGCCTTCGTACATGATCTACGTGACGGGGAGCGAGATCGTGCAGGGCTTGACGATTGCCGGCGGCGGTGCGGTCAGGTCTCCTGACGATGACACTTCGCTCGTCAAGACTGAGTAGAGGAGCGGTAGAAGGAGCCGCGCTGGCGAGCCACCTCTCGCACGCTAGAATCGAGGCTCGACTTGAGTCCGGGTTGAGGTCCGGAGAAAGACGATTGATTGTTTTTTTTTTTTTTTTTTCTGACTGGATCTGGCGGCATCAGCGCCGTTCTCGCCCCCGTACGGAGCGAAGTAGTCCTAAAAAAATAGAAGAGAGAGGCCTTCAAGGCCCATCCATCATGGATACGGTAGTCAGTCAACTCATCACAGGCCTTCTAAACCTAAACTAAATCCCATGCATTGCGCTTCGGCCGGTACTGAAAGTCTCTGTAGACCGTCCCAGAGACCTCCAGCTCCAGATGAGTGAGTGTCACGATACAATCAATATGTGGATTCATAAATTCATTGCAACTTCAATCTCTTCTCGCCTCTCCTCTCCTCTCACCCATCCCTAGCTACTCCGTAGATCCGTACTAACAAGTCTCGAGTCGGATTTCCATCCATGTCATGTCATATCATATCATATCATATCAATATCATGACCAAACCACCCTCCCCCCATGCACCACGCACCACTTCATCATCGACCTACACCCCCTCCTCGCCGCTCGTCGGACAGACAGACAGACAGATGATAAGCCTCTATTGCGCAGTGGTAACGCGTAGCACTCATATGAGCTGACGCACAGAAAATTGTATCACTCTTGGTTACAGCAATGCTAAGATCTAAGATCACAGGTCATCAACTGGTCTTGTAGAGATTACACAAGCGGCTTGGTTTTGTCAACTTTTCAATTGCTATAAAAGGCTAGAATAATTCCATCCTCACCAGCCAGTGGCAAGTATTTTCCGAACCCAGCATCCGAAGCCCTCTCTGCTCGCAGATCAGGCGCCCCCGCACACCAACACATGCATCCGATCCAGTTCCCTGGACAGCCATGCAGTGAGGCGTCGAAGATATAGTAGGATGAGCTACAGCCGTTTCTCTCCACTCCGTGATGCTTCCATCCCCATCGGAAAGCCCGACTAGCGAGGCATTTCGTCAAGGGTGGTGATCGGGTAGCCGAGTGATCAGGCAGTTGACCGAACTATCGCACCCTGATCAACAGGGCGTGTCGTAGGGTCTGTGGTGGTGTTGTGGCATCGAAGCCACCTCCGTGGTCGTCAGCGCGCAAGCGCGCTCTACTGAACGAGACCCGCACGCAGATCCAGCCAGCCCGGCAACATCCGTATCCATTCCCTCATAACCATCGCATCGAACGTCCCCCTCCCGTCTATACCCAGAGCCCAGAGAGGCATCAAGCCTCCGGTCGGCAGGGGACAAAGGTCGGAGGCAGCGCACGATACAGCGTGAAATCATGATCGAGACCGTAAAGACGTAAAACCGCGTGACAACGAACACCAGATGATACCCCACGCCCGACGACAAAGGAAATAGACAAACAAATAAACAATCAATGTGTATCCCTGCGCGCCGAGTCCTGCATTGCTGCGTGTTGCCCCCTTCTCGGGTAACTTTCTTTATATCCGAAAAAAATAAGAAAAAACGCCATATGCTATACGATGAGATGAAAGAGGCCGAGCTAGCGATTGTGAAAATTCAAACAAAAACGCGTGACGCTAAATAAACAGTATCAGATGACATAGGAAAATAACATGGTGCCCGTTATGTACTCGACGAGAAACAAAGTAAATGAGTCAGAGGCCAAAAGTGTTGTCGCTCAGTCGCTGAACAATGCTGATGCCGCCTAGCAAAACGCCGATATGTCTTCCTTCGATAGTGGGGGTATCAAATGCCGCTATAGATCTTTTTCAATCCCATGGTTGGTATGTTCAAACAGTTTTTGAGGAGTTGCGAAGTGTCGTGAGAGTGGACGTAGTACCCACGCTTTGGAGGGAGGAGATGGGCCCCCGTGCTATTACCCGGAGTCGGCACTAGAGTTGCTTGTGAAAGTTCCGGGCCTTGGTTGTCACATTGTTGCTGCATACTCTTGGTGCCTGTCCCAGCTTTGCCCAAAGTTGCCGTAACCCACACTGACGCCGCAATGCTGTTGCTGCTGTTGTTGCGCTAGCATGCTGGGAAGAGGAAGGGATGGGGTGGGCGCGCTGATCGGAGGCGAGGAGTAGATCCATCCTGGTGTCGAGTATGGCTGGCTATAGGCTGGGGCCGGAGACGGTAGTTGTACCTCGTGTAGTCCCATGCTGGCCCATAATGAATTGGAATCAACTGACGACGTCGTGCTCGGACTCGACGGGATGACTCTCCATGACTCTACGGGCGCGGGTTCCGAGGCGGAAAGGTTCGACTGCGACCACCAGTTTTCGACAGCAGAGTTTGGCAGCAACGGAGGTGGTCTGACAACGTCGACTATCCTGGGAGGGGGAGGTAACAATGGATGGAAGAGACCCATAATGCTGGTCTTGACCTCTTCACTCTTCCCACCGAGAAGCTCTCCGGCACCGTCTTCTTGCAGACCATCCAAGGCAGTAACATGGGTCCGGTAGACGAACTTGTTGATTGCTTGAATAAACTCGTCGTGCATTTTCTTGACTTGTGTCTCCTTCTCGGACCAAGTGTACGTATTGGCGGAGATATCGACGCAATGGATATCCTTGTGGTATTCGATCAGGGCTTCTATCGAGTCTGGCGTGAGCTTGAATGCGACCTCGTTCCGGAGGACCATGTCCACATGTACTATGTATGCTTCGATGTGAAGGAGCTGGTAGTTGAACAGAGCTTCAACCAGCGGGTTCTCATCTTTGCGCAGGTCTGCCTCGGGCGCTTTCGGTACCATCATTGAAGTGAGAGTCCAGATGGCCGTTGCGGACGACAAGTGTTCTGTCAGACATCTTTGATGCTGTGGCACGCTGTTGAGGGGTCTCTTGACGCGATTTACCCGCTTCAGCGTCTGTGTTAACCAGGGCTCCACCTTCGAGCCCAAGACAACGTTGACCGAGGTTGCTCGAGGGGCAAAGGCGGCCGCCGAGGCTGGCAGTAGTTGAGGAGGCATCGGGGAGGCTTTCTGTAGGGGTAGCGAAACGGAGTCGGGGTAGGGGGGGGAGGGGGGGGGAGAAAAAATGATAACAGAAATGAAACCAAGAGCTGCAGAGGGGGAAGGGGGAGGAGAAGAAGGAGGAGGAGGAGGAAGAGGAGAGTGGCGATCCCAAGAACAGGGAATGGATTACAGTTGCGCCAGAGAGGGACGAAGAATCCGTCGTGGAGAGGAGGTGAGGGAGGGTGAGGAACGAAAAGAAAGAAGGCAAGGAGGGCAATATAGCCAGTAGCCAGACGCTTGACGCCTGGCGCCTGGCGCCTGACGCTTGACTGGCAGGCTTCTGGAGCATGCACTGCCCCCCCGACAACAGCGAGGGAAAAAGTGAAAAAGTTAACGTTGAACCGTCGAAGCTGAACTCTTGCATATGGTATGCACCACCTGGGAAGAATGCCTGCCACCTGCATAAAGCCGAACGAACGAACGCAAGAATCCCGTATTCCGTACGGGTAGCATCGCTGTACCTGTAACTACCGGTACTGCACAGAGTTCCGCGGCCATCAGAGAGAAGAGGGTCCTGCAGGTCCCAGTCGATAGTAAAGCAGGTGGCGCAGAAGGCAGGAATAATCGCAGAGGTTGCCACTCGGAACGGGGACGTCGGAATAAGAGGAAAAGGAAAAAGGAACGAAGGAGAAAAAAACTAAATACTGCAAAGTATGTGATCTGGTGCCGGTAGTTACCGAGGCTCGGAAGACGTCTTTCTCTCTGCCGGATTCGATATTAAGGTAGCACGTGAGCATAAGTAGCCACTTCGAACTTAAGCGAGAGAGGGCACCGGCTAGATAGGATACTACCTTTCATAAAGGGAGCTAATATAGTAGTAGTAGCTAGGAAATAGAATTTTAGGCTTCTACAGTATACAGTACAGTAAGTACTACTAGCAGGGGGAAATCTTTCCCCAACCACTAAAGTATAAATAGCTGTTCGAACTATAAACCAGAACCCAAACTTGGAAAGAGAGTTACCCAACAGACGGTCCCTGAATCTCCTGCTTGCTTCTCTTGACTAGCTACAACCGAGAGAGCCCGCAGATTCAACAGGCAGCGAGCGCGTTGACTGACTAATCTGTACGACCTACCGGTACTCTACTTATAGTTTTATTCATTGCTTTTGGCTTCATCGTGGCACGCACTCCACGCTACTAGCTTGCTAGATCTCTGGCTCACGACACCATTAGGCTAGGTACCTACCACCTTGATCGCTTCGAGCTACCTCCGCTACACCTGCCATTCTCAAGGAACAGGCTCCGTCCTCCCGTCCGAACACGTCTTGCTCAAACTCTCGCAAGCCAACGTCAATCCCGCACTCGAGTTGCCAATCCAAAACACAAACGGCTGGGAGGTGCTAACGGGGATGATCCAGTTCTGTCGGACCACGTCCCAGATACTCAGATCCCTGCGCGTGAGTTGCAATGTGACCGAGGCGCTCGCACCAGCCGCGAGGGTGGCCGTCTTCTCGAAAGCCCGGAGCTGGATGATAGGCGTGTCCCACGGGTTGTCGCTCGGATATTGAACGTAGACTTGCACGACTTCCTTGCCGGCAAACGTGCCCGTGTTGGTCACCTTGACGGCGATCGTGAACATGACATCCCAGAGGGCGGGGTTTCCACCTTGGGCGCCGCCCGCGACCGGGTCGGGTTGAGGGGTGCTTTGGTAGCCTGCGGGATAGGTGAACTTGTTGGTGGCGACAATATCCTGGGGGTTGTCAAGGTACGGGTATAGATATCTCCAGATCTTGGTGAATCCTGTGGGCCAGGCGACCTCAGCGGGCGAGGGAATTGCACTGCTGAATGCCGGGGCAGGACCTTTGGCTGCTCGAGTAGGAGGAATCGATGTCATGGCTTCTCCAGCAGTGACTGTTACACTCGTCCTGGAGAATGTGGTGTAGGAGAGACCGTGACCGAATGCGTAGCGAGGTGCTATAGAATGCTTATTCAGATACCGGTAGTCGATGTACAGGCCCTCGGTGAAGGTGTCTTGCACTTGAAAGAATTGGAACCCCATCAGACTGACAGATGCCGGGTAGTTGGTCTCAGCTTTTGGAATAGAATAGGGGAGATGACCACTCGGTGAGTAGTCGCCAAAGAGGATATCGGTTAGCGAGTTGCCAGCTTCCTGGCCCGGTAGATGGGCAAAAACAATTGCTCTCACCGATGGGAGATCGGCCCACTTTTCCACGAGAATAGGGCCAACTGTGTGAACTACAACAACAACTGTAGCATACTTGGCTGCTGCTGCTCTGACCAAGTCGTCTCCGTTGTGCCACGCATACAGACCACTCTCCTTGCGGTCACCGTTGTTTCCTTCAACGGTGTACTGATTCTCTCCAGAGTCACTACTGATGAATACCATGGCAATATCGCCGGCAGCTTCAGTCAGACCTGACGGGAAGGAGTCGGTGTTGTAAAGGGTTGTGTTTGCGGCTCTGAGCCTGATGGCAGTGATTGGGTCATCCAAGTATGGATAATTGGCCGTACCTATACGCATTAGAGATCACGGCTCACTCTCCAGGTGCGAATCTTACCTGATCCCCACCCCATTCCCAGAGTTCCCTTGTTGCAAGAGCGTTGGTTGCAGGCGTTGATCCCATCCGGATTCTTGGCTGCATCTGTTCCGAAGATCTTCAGGACTGATTTGCTTGAAAGTGGCAGGGTCTTATTGTCATTCTTCAGCACCGTGATGGCTTCTCTCGAGATCTCCCTAGCGATATTCCCATGATCTGCTTGAACATTGACATACTCGTTAACGACACAAGTTGGCCCAACCAGAGAGCCGGGATAGCAATTTCCCGTGCGATCTGCCGTATTGGAGGAGAAGTTTGGCTCCGGGAAGTTTTTATCCTGACCAAGTTGGTACCATGTGGCTACGATACGCGTCACCATATCGTTCATACGCTCGAGCGGGATCGTGCCATTAAGAACTGCCGTGGAAAGTTGGTAGCCCCAATAAGAAAGGCCAAGAAGTGGTGTATTTCCATCACCTGGCATCGCCATATCCAAACCTGCCAGTGCAGAGCTGACACCACCAATTTGGGCAAGCCAGTCGCTCATCACCTGATACTGTCAGTGTTCTGTATCTAGATGTCTAGATATCAACCGAGCAAACTCACGAGTCCCTGGAATCCCATCTCATCCTTCCTTCACCAACGTTAGCCCAGCATCTGGTAGATAAGGAGGATTTAGCACTGAAAAATCTCCAGAAATCGGAAATTTCAGTTGAGGCACTGTACGTACAGAATGCCATTCATCATCTTGCTGTTCTGGGATGACGCGCTTCCATTGACATCGTTGTAAGCTGTCATTACAGCCCCAACACCAGCTCGGATACCATCAGCAAATGGCCAAGCATAAAGCTCGTGAAGGGTCCGGTCATCGAGGTTGCTGCTGAGTGCTTTCATCAAGCCGTGGGGAGGGATGTCCATACGATACGCTTCCTGCTCGTTGGCAATGAAATGCTTGATCGTAGCTATCACACCTTGGTCTTGCATTCCCTTGATAGTCTCAACGCCGCCCCATGACTGAAGGACTGGGTCAGCTCCAAAGCTTTCCCAGTTTCTTCCACCTCTCGGCTTGCGGCCAATGGGGCCAACTGTTGGCTATCGAAAAATGTCAGCAAGAAAAATGTCAGCAAATTTCCTCGAGACGTTGGGATGTTTCCTCCACACCTCCCTTTCCCCTCAAGAACCAGACTTAACGATTGAGGATGAATACATACCCCAAGTTGGATGTTGACACCCTTTCCCCGAGCCTCAGCCCCAATAGCAGCTCCCCTGGCATAAGTCAAAGCTTTATTCCAAGTAGCACCAACCGTGATCCCAGCCGGGAAAGCAGTGATGTTATCCGTCGCAGCAATGCCCAGAGCAGAGTCCTGCAGGCACAGACTAGGAATGCCAAAACGAAGCGCCGATCCAGTGTTACCTGAGCAGCGTCCCATGAATAGTCCAGTTCCAGTCGTGAGATTGACTTTCTCAGCCAGCGTCATGTTTGCAACCACCAACTGTGCTTTTGCGTAGGCGGCTGACCACTCGCTCAGCCATCCTCCGCGGGGTGCAGGATAGTACGGGGATGCGACGAAGCCGGCAGGGACATCGTCACGTTCTCGGAGTGTTGAGGGCGTTCCGATGTTCTCCAGCAATCTTGCGTCTGCTGCGAAATTTGGGCGTTGGACAAGCCCGCTGCTCAGACACAAGAGTACCAGAAACAAAGAGAGAATCGCGATTCGAGCCATCCTGTACGTATCCTAGAGAGCACAGGACGTCGAGTAACGGTGAAGGTCCAGACGACTGGCCTTCCACTTCACGTCTGAATGGCGAGTCGGCGTTTGCGCGAGCTGGGAGTAGATACGACAAGAAAAGAGGGACATGAGCGGCGATTGCAGGTCATGTATAAGGCAGGAGGAGCCTACGAGCTTACAAAGCTGCTCAGCTAGCCGTCTGGCCAAAAGCAACCGCTCCCCAAGCCTCGAGGGTTAGTAAACATCGCTTAAAAATGTCCGTATCGAGACGATATTTCCGTCTCACAAGTTGTCGGGAATTGAGAGGGTGCAGTAGATGTCCTGGGACGAGGTGCGGTATCGAAATATGGGCCAGGTAATCACGGGGGAGTGTCCTCTTGAGGCAGTCGCGTAGAGTGACAGTACAGTGACATCGACATGAGCAGGGGAGAGGCACAGAAGTCGCCCACGGAGCGAAGAGCGGAAAGAGAAATCTCATCGAAATCTATCTCATGTGGTCAGTGATTTCTCGCCTAGAATATTGTTCGAGGCGGGTGCCGATGGTGATAAGGACGACGTGCATCGGCTGTATAGCCTCTTCTCATTCTCCCCGAGGGCCGAAGAAGCGTGCCTATGGCACGCGTTTGTTTCATCTGGGCTTCTCCGTCTGAGCGCAACCCGTCCCACCCACCTCTAAATTGACCCCTCTCGCGGAAAGATCAAGACTGGTAAAGATATTAAATACGCCTTGAAGGTCGGGAATCCTGGTGTCCTCACCTCGTAAGATACTACTGTGTCCAGCTCCAGCTCCAGCACAGACAACAATAATAAATACCCCGGACTCGCTTCCACCAAGATCGGACTCCTCGCTTCGAGCCAGGTAACCAAACAAAACAACAACAACAACAACAGGGGTTGGATTCGCCGGTCAGCCAGGAATTGCTTGATATGATTGATGGATCAAGTTCAGAAGCATCACAGCCAAGCTTTTGATTATGAACAAATACAGATGTAAATGTATTCGAACGTGACCTACCTAGCCTTGACTAACTAGCCGTCTTGCATATTGCTAATATCAGTCAGTGTCTGCGTCGCCGCTGCAACGTTGCCAATAGCAGTGGCCCGGTGGCCCGGCGGCCCAGTGGCCTGCCGGTGTGCCCAGCTGAAATGTTCAAGCCACAGGACGAGAGTCTCTCCATTTTCCATGCCTCTCAGCAGAAACACGTGGGTGCACGACTCGGGGTGAAAGAAAACAGGATCCGTTTTCAAGATTCGCGTATCAAGTGGGAGGGTTTGTGACAAGACGCCATGAAATTCAAAGAAGAGGTTAAGAGCCCTGTTTGGGAAAATCCTGATACTGGAGTACATACTTTATCTGCTAGAGAAGAATTACGATGGCCCAAACGAAATGCAATCAAGCGAGCAAAGCCATGCCGAACGCCAGTCCCGAAATGATGCCTGTAATTTTGCACGCCCCATTTTCAATCGCACGCAAGCCATCCCATATACGAACCATGTAGGTGTTGTGTGAGATCAGATATCTTTTTTGTAGGCATGCTCTGGTTTGTGAGTAGTCTCGTAGTCAACATGGACATATGCTCTCTCGATATCGGGCAAGCTCTCCAGTTTGATCTGCAACTCCTCAGCAACATCATGCGTGTCTCTCAGAGACGACTCGGCATTCATAACAACGTCGACTTCGGCTATGAGTCTTGGTCCCGAGTGGTAGACCCTGACGGTGTCGATGCCTTCGATAGCGGGAGAGTGGGTCAAGCAGACGTATGTGATGAGCTGCTGGAATTCAACCGAGGCAGTCACGCCGACGAGGAGGAGGAACTCGGTGAATGCGGTGTGAAGCCAGACGGAGCTGATAATGCATGAGATGATGATGGCGCCCATGGGGTCGATCCACCACACGAGCTTGGATCCGCCGACGGAAGTGAGGATACCGAAGCCGTTGATGGCCAGGTCGTTCCGGTGATCTTGCCACAGAATATTGATTTGTGAATACTTGTCTTTCAGGGCCCAGCAGTAGAGGAAGAGACAGAACTTGGTGGTGAAAGCTATGGCGACAGCGATTACTGAAGGAAGATGAAACGTCTTGGTATCTTCCTCGGGTGGATCAGCAAGATCCCGGGCCGAGAAGGCGATGAGGATAACTGATACCATAATCATGATGAAGCAGAATACGATGTTGCCGACCGTTTCAAGGCGGGCCTTACCGGACGGGAATCGATTTGGGTCCACTCGTTTGACAGCTCTATTGGTGAGCATCAAAGTGATGTTCGACATGGGATCGAAGATGGAGTCGGCCATGGTCGTAATCAAAGACAGAGAGCCGGATGAGACGGCAGCGTAGAGTTGCAGTCCTGCGAGGACGATGTTGGCCACGAAAGACCCGTAGACAGCAATCTGCCACTGCAGATGATCATCTCCTGCCTCTTGTTGTGCCTCAGCGCGGTGGTCCTCAACAGGCTTCAGCATGCGCTGGATGTTTTCATTCTGATTCTCGTAGAACTGCCGAATCTTCCGTGCCTTCTTAGCATCGCCGTTGAATTTGATGGGGCCACATCCATCGCGCTTTCGAGAGGTATTCGCACCGATAAGCTGGATTTCGGCCGTGTCTTTGTAGGCTGAAGACAGTTTGTATGGATCATTCTCGCGCGTGTAGCGGGGAGGTCTCTGCTCTTCGACGTCGTTCATAGCAGAAGTGTGGCGAGAGATTGGGTTGTGCTCTTCATCTTGAAGACTGAGAGGCTCGAAGGAAGTACTGGCAGCGGGCTTTGCTGACGGGTTCGAATGGGTGAGAGGAGTGTGAGTTCGGACCGAATGCTCTGGTCTGTTTGGATGCAGGTGGAACGGACGAGGATGCATCGTGATGCTGTGCGAAAGATCTGGATTGTGGTGTGCCATAGCGGCGAAACCTGTAGGAGTGAGGAGGAGGGGGATTGATAGACAGAGCAGTGAACAGAAAGAATAGTTTAAGGCGGGGCAGAAGAGGCAGAAAGAGGAGAGCTCTGTGACGATTGGTTGTCCCTTGCACTTCGAATCTGGTGAAGACGAAGATGAAGACGGAGACGCAGATAAGGATGAAAACGGAGCTGATCTCGAAAGTCGAGATGGCAATGTTACATGCAGAGAAACTCGGGGCGGTCGTTCGAGGCAGAGATCACAACCTACCGTTGTGCCGGAATCGCGCAGTGGAAGGCCGGTGCCGTGGCACAGCTCTTCGACTTGCAGCCTGCAACCTACCACCTACCGTTGACTCGCGACGAAGCGTGAAGTTAAAGTTGAAGTTAAAATTGAAGTTGGAGTTGAGCTAGATCAGGTTGAGGTTGAGGTTGGGGTTGAGGTTGGTTGATATCGAATTTGAGGTTATTCCGACAATCAAGATAACGAACGATAGCGCGGGCCATGAGCTTGATTGTTTGGAAATTGTGTTTGAAGGAAAGAATAGCCTCGGCCATCCGCTTCTATCAGACGAACCTCGCGCAAGCGCCGAGGATCGTGTGTCACGTGACATACGATATCTTGGGAGGCATCACACAACAACAACAACAACAACAACAACAACAACAGGTCTCAGGGAGGGTAGTTGGTTATAGCGGAGGCATTCTGGCAAGCACTCTTCATGAAAATAGAGCCTGCCACACTGCCAGACATACTCTCCATTGACATTGTATCTGACTATTTACGGTAGCAAAAGTAAATTATTGACTGCCCACTCTCCGCATCGTTCGGAAAATCATCATGCTCGCCAATATGCAGTAGCAAAGTATCATCAAGATTATGTAATACAAATGCAATATAAGCGCACCAATCCCGGCCAGGTGCTATGTCTTCAGCCACGGAGCCGTTGTTGCGCATGTTCGCGTAGCACCGCATAACCATAGCAATTTCCATCTTCCGTCCCCTCCCCAGTCATCGTTAAGCACTAATTATCCAGGACATCTCTCTCCTCATCTGTCGGCAACTGAGATGTCCCGTACGTCGGGAACGTCTCGCCCTTCTCCCACATCGCGCCCGGTCCTTGGAAACTGGGCTCCTCGATGGCACTTCTCGTAACCTCATCGGACACCTTTTTCGCGCTGGGCGGAGTTGGAGCGACGTACGTTGGAGAAATTACCCCCTCGGAGCCATGAGGCAGGGGTCGCAAGGGAATCTCCCGCGCAGGGATGCCACCATTCCCCAATTTATTGGCTATTACATCAGATTGGCGCTGAGCAAGTCGCTCAAGCTGCAGCACCGGATCCTAACAAAAGTAAGAACGAAATCTCACGTAAAAGGATAGACACAGGTACCCAATCTGCCTGGGAAGGGACACCCTCAGCAGCCGGCAGTTGGCCTTCTGAATTTCGCTCTTCACCCCAGAAAGTAGGTCTCCTGATCGGAGCTGGGGTCACGGGCAAACTTGGTCGTTCATACTCAGATGGAAAGTCCGTGAGCCTCATACCGTGCCGTCTGCCGTCCGGACTGGAGACCTGTGCTATCCCTGAGCCATACCCCTGCAACACCTGGATATTTCCCTTGCGATTCTTCTGTAAATCCTCGATGTATCGCTCAATTCCGGGCACATCATCCCAGGCATTTCCACGCGCGAATGTATTCCATGGATCAGCAGGCGTGAACTGAAAGACTGGATTCTTAGGTGTGACGATCTGTCTTTCTGTGTAATCCGGAACGGTCGATGCCTCACTGAAGCTCTGGGAGTCGGTAGCCACTTCCAGGTTGTCTTCGGGGAAAAACCTCTTTGGCCTGGAGGGATCCTTCTCCCATGGGAAACTAAATACCAGCTCCTGGTGCGTGGGAGTTTTGGGGACTTCATAGTACATGTTCTTGGGCGGGTCAGGGTACCGTTCTGGGGCCTTCCACGGTGTGGGATCTGAAGACATATCATAGTGAGTTGCAGGAAAGTTGGAGGCTTCAGGCCGAGAGTTAGATGGGGGTGGTGCTCTGCTTGGAGTCAGTATCTCTTTCCAGAAGACACTGAAGTGGCGGCACTGACCTGCTCGCATCCCAGGCTGAATACTGGACTTGAGGAGCTTCGCCCTCGGGCCCCTCACGCTGATCCATATTCGTTTCAACTTGCGGAACGTAAGCTTTTGCTTCTTGCTTCGGGCTTTCTGATATTCCCTCTCCCAGCGGCTCATCGGCGATCGGCGGGCAAGTCTCACTCTCGACCTTTTCAGGCTGGTATTCCTGGCCACTCGAGACACTGGGGGCCACAGGTTGGAACTCCCCCTTGGTATAATACTGCACAATCGACTGTGCTCCTTGGTATGAGCTCTGCACAGACTATCACAGTTTAGTAGAAGAACAGATAAGGGCAATAATTGGCCTACGGATTCTTTGTAGTGTTTGTCATAGACCGCCCACCATCTCCCAACCATCTGATCATATGGTGTAGACCCTTGATGCGCTTGTCTTCCTTGACTCCAAGGCTTCTCTGCACCAATGAAGTGTGCGACGCTGATGCTGGACTGGAAATGCTGGAATGCTGGTAGGTACTGGTAGTGCGCCGACGGGGTGACATTGTAAGTGAAACTCAAGCGGTTGAAGTTGTTCTTAAAGTGCATGTTCAACAGGCCTTGATCTGCACCATCGAAAGATATGCCCCGCTCTGCCATAGCCAGCAGCGCATAATAATCGCCCATGTTTGGGTTCAAGACCATCAGACCCGTATTGAAGATATCCGGCCAGCCAATATCAGGGGCCGCGGAGAACGGTTGGGACAGGTCGAACAGCTCGTCTGGAGCACGGAGAGCCACCATGTCTGCGTCCATGTAGACAATCCGACGGAACTGGAGCTGCTTCCATAATGCAATCTTGGTGAAGGTCGAATGCAGATCCGGGCGATTCATAAGAGACAGGTTCGCCGGGGACTGGTTGACGAATCTCTCGACGGGAATGATAAAGTCAAACACCTTCTGCGATGGGGATGTATTAGACGAAACTCAAGTTGATAAACTTCGGGGGGGGGCCCTACCTGGAGCTGAACCATAGCATCTGCAGATACCGTCTCTGTCGTCACCAACACGGCCAACTTCTTGGTGGTGGCGGCATCCCGTAACGAGTGGGCCAGGACCAAGGCACCTGCATCGAAGCTGTCGTGAGTATATATTCGATGGGGGCATAAGAGCGGAAAGAAATACCTGCGAGGTAGGAGTCGTTCAACAACAACTGCAGATTGAAAGTTAGAACGCGCAGGCAGTTGAGCCGGGGGGGTGAACGGTCAGACAGTCAGTAGCAGTGCACGGTCAACTCACTGTCGCGTAAACATCCTCCCCGCACGAAGCCATAGCCATGCAGTCTGCCTGCCTCTCGTGCACGGCAGATGGATCAGATGGCTGGGCTGGCAGATGGTAGAATCCGTCTCCGTCTCTCTGTCTCGGTGCTGGGCGGAAAGCAAGAACGAGAGAAAGGAAGAGGAGAGGATATGAGACAGATGAATGTCACTACCGAGCAACGATCATTCCACGGAAGAATGGGTGGGTGAGTTGTGGAGGAGAAGCGGAGGAGGGTTCAAGAGAGATGCACCTTCTAGCATAGTTCTTCCGCTCCGGCTTTGAGGGCAGGGAAGTGGGTGGACCAGGGAGGGATGGATGGGATGGATGAATTTTGGGAAGATGAGATGAAATCTTGATGAGACGAGATGAGGATGACGAGATCGATCACGTTTGAAGCACGTTTGCTTGAAATTGTGTGTCCGGGCCTGCTGATATACCTAATCTGTAGAATATCTAATCAGCGTGGAATCTGGGGTAAGGAAAGTTTATTATTCAAACTTTTTTTTTCTCTTTCCTTTTTTTTTTTTTTCTCTCTTGGCCATGTCTGGGCTCGACAAGTGGCACTCAACGGTCGTCACGGGTGATGACGATACCAGTGGACGATACGACCTTCTTCATAGGCCAATTCGATAACCCCACCCTCCACCCCACCCGATGCTTCTCTTCACGTGTGACAAGACTCGTGATGAGGTAACGGTACTCCGCACAAGGCAGCGTCACGAGGCGAAGGCGACTTTCCTGCCTCTCCTGATTTCGGAGCCAGCCAAGGACAGGCAGTACTTCGGGATTCCCTCCCGCATTGGTACAACCTCCGTAGCCCAGGATCACCTGACTCTGAGCCGGAATTCCAACAGTACCAAGTCACGTCACGATATTTACACGTGACCCTTGTATCCAAAGCAAAGCCAACCTACAGGCAACAATGCTCAAACAGATGTTCCCTGACTATGAACGACTGCGAGAGAAAGGGACTGACGCCAATGGCGTATGACACTATCATGAACAAGAGTTGTTTCCGGTTTATGGATTTGCCGGTTGAGCTACGTTTAGAGGTATGTAACCCACAACCCTCTTCCCCGTTGATGCAATATAGTTCCATATAATTCAATATAATACAATAATATACACACTGCACGCAGATTCTAACACTTGACAGATCTACAGCTGCCTCCTGGTCTCACCTGATGATATCAGAATCCCAGCCGAGTGCGAAGCGCCCCTGGCCAGCACCACCGGTAGTCATGAGGAGGAGCATGAAGAAAAGAGCCATCCTGCACACGCCATTCTCCAAACCTGCAAGCTAGTCAGCGAAGAAGCAATCCCAATCTTCTACGGCATGAATACCTTCATCATCTGCCTGGGTAGGGTTTTGCCCCCCCTCCCCTCCTCTTTTCCCCCCCGTAGAGACCCGACGCCCCTTTTCAAGCTAACGAAGGCTTGCATGAATAAAATAGCAACCGAACAACACAAACAGCCTTTCTTCGTCCATAACTTCCGTTGGTCGACCCTCTTGTGCATGAACACCGTCAAGTTTCACAGCAATGGCTACCAGCAGATTGTGACGGTCCCCAATCACATAGGTGCTCGTCCCTACTTCACCTGCTCTGGCTATGACTTGATAGCCGTCTTGAAAGGGACCGCCGTTCTGTATTCGCCCGATGGCCCGAATGAGAACATGGCCTTGAGCATCTCTTCGTGGGTCAGTACGAAAGTCTTGTATCTAGAGCTGGATGCTATTCAGCAGGAGATGGAGGCCATACTCTCTGCCGAATGACCGTCTCGACATTTTCGGGACCGATCGATAGACCTTGGAGAGAACTGGGGATGATCATCAGCAGGGCCGAATCCAGTCATACAGCAATACAACAGCGCGTGGTTTGAGTCGGTTTGAGTTGGTTTGAGTTGGGGCTACCTTTCTCTCACACTTCTTCGGATGCTTGCATATCGCTTGGACCAAGACGAATGGCTTACTCATGGCAGGATGATGATAATCTCGGGGAGATGGGCGGATAGGGATTTACTAGGAACTACCCATGCCATGCCAAACAACCTTCTTGGGCTGCTCTTTCGTGAACGCCTTGCGCCTGGATCCTACGGAGTAGTCAGGTTGCGGGCGGCTTTTGGTGATAGGGATGGAATTGTTCCAGCCTGCATTCACACCATCAATGAGATTCTTAAAGAGGTTTGGCTCCCCGTGTGGCTAGGATTTCTGCTGGAGGAGCTATCAATGGTAAAATATCCCGGACGACTCTGACCTCATTCTGTCCTCTACCATGGCGTAAGCTGAAATGTGGAAGGGGGAGGACATAGAAGAGAGTGAGGGACAGACGGAAGTGGGCTCAGGTGATGAATTGATAGTTTCTATATCGGCTTCGGAGGTTAGTATGTAGAGAAAGAGGAAGGAAGGTGAGGAAAGCGCACTGGGGGACCAGGGCGGAGGAAGGGCTACCTCAATGTCAGGTGAATGTGCTGCCACTTGCGCTCCAAGCGCCTGATACTGAGACCTCGGTGTTTTTTCTAGCTCACATAAACCATTCCTTTCACCTCTCCCGCTGAGCATACCTTACATGAATCATGGTTACCGCAGACCTCTTCCCGGTTTCGAAAAGTCATGTTATTGCTTTCATTCAGGTTACAGAGACGTTAAAACCCAACCGTCCGTCGCTACCCGCCAATGCGCCGTGTATACACATTCATGAAATTTTAAATTACAAAAGCGAAGCTACTTTGGCTCACTGGTCCAGTCACAGTCACACCCCCTCAGCTTCGTCTACGGCATCTTCAACCGTGACAGCTTTCGCATTTCCCTTTTCCTTCTTATGGTCATCTTCCTCGGCACCAGCTCCTGCGGATGACCCTTCCGCAGACGAGGACGAGGAAGGTACCGCAGCATTCTGCTCACCCCCGGTCGTGGATGCTTGTATTTCTGTTTGTGCTGCCGAAGCGGTAGAAGATTCGCCCGCATCTACTGATGTAGCCAAGGGGCTTTGACCCCGAAATAGTTGACTCGATCCCCAGTTTGGTAAGGAATTCACATTTTGCTGAGTAGTCATGGGCTCTGTGTTGCCAGCGGTGGCGGTACCTGGGGTTGTGGCATTCGGGCCTGCGGCGTTGGATTGGTCAGCTGCTACAGACGGCGGAGTGTGGATGGCATTCGTGTCGGACGAATCAATCGATGAGGCCTGCGAATGACCTTCGGGATTTATCGTCAGCGTGGGTGTCCGAGAATTATCAGCAGTTGCGGCCGTAGAGCTGGTAGCTGCCTGCGTGGCGGCCATGGCTGCCGAGCCTGCAGGTCCTGGAGCGACTTGTGGAACGCCAGCGCCGTTATCGAGTCTCTCTAACGGGAGGAGAGACCATCCTTCCGGAATTGTGACCCCAGGAGGTAATTCAGCGCTGCCAGATGGGATAGCAGCCGTGCTCGGTAGGGCTACATGTCTTGCCATCTGTGGAGGGGCCGCGTAGAAGGGCACCGGATATCTACCTACCGGTCCTTGTTGTGGCAAATGAGGAACTTGAGGCATCGGAGGCAGCTGAAAGTTTGCTGCCAATGGATCTGCTCCTCCGGCACGCGCGAGTCTCAATCGTGCAAGCTCTAATTGCATGTGATGCACCAGTTGCAGTTGCTGTTGTGTGATTTGAAGATTTCGCATTTCGTTCGCGATTTGCAGCTCGATCTGTTCAAGTTGGTCTTGAATTGAGCCTGATCCGTTCGGATTTGGCACCGCACCAGCGGCCACTTGTGCTTGTGGTTGGACTCGACGGGGAAAACCCAATTCCAAGCCGTATATTCTCGCGTTTCCGGCTCCCGCAGCCCCATTTTCTTGCTCTTGCTCCTGGAGTCCTTGGGCAAATTCTTGGAGATTTGCCTGTCCAAACCCAACCCGGAGAGGTCCCAGATTTAGCATCCGCATCCTACGTTGAGGACGACCGCCGGCGGGTGGCTGCGCTCCAGCACCGTCCTGCTGACCAGGAGCTGGTGGTTGAGCACCTGGAGCAGCGGGATTGGCATTATTTGCAGCCCCCGGAGCAGCTTGACCTGGTGTATCTACAACTGGTCTTCTGCATGTAGGGCATACTTGTTGTCGCTCGAGCCAGCTCTTGAGGCACCCTAGGTGCAGAATATGTCCACAAGGCAATTTTTTAGGTCTCGTCCGCTCGTTGACCGTTGTAGCGGGTCTTGCCTGTGGTGCGGCCCCAGGAGCAGCAGGAGGAACCTCTGGGTTTGTGACAGACCATGGTCTCATCTGCTCTCTACAGATGATGCAAGTATCCTCTCTCTGAATATCCTCAATTGTAGCATCTTCGTACCTCGAGTTCATGTCTTTCGTAGCTTGACGGTATTTTATAAATGCTGCGAGTCTTTTCATAAATGATCGTGCTGTCATGAACAGATCACGCATTATGTGGATCGGGAGACCGTAGAACATAAGCAAGATGACAAAAAAGGATATGTAAATACCCAATTTAACGAAATCTATCATGGTGAGCATCAACTCGCTTATGACTTGAAATCCCACGTACCTGTGATCAAGTCTAGAGTCAGCACCCAATGACCCTTAGCCTCCCATCCTGGGACTTCAATATCCATCTCGTCGACATCATCTTCAGATGGTAGTGGCGCACTCGACTGAGCTGTATCCATTCCTTCGCCAGCCGTAGCAGCCGCTGCTTCCCGCTGTCGGATCATCTCCGCCCGCTCTTCCCGAACCTCTCTTCTGCGCTCAACTAGTCGGTCCTGGGTCTGTTGTTTTACCACCTTCGCCTCTACCAAAGATATGCAGTACCGGCACGCTGTCGCAAGTGATGAAGAAGTAAGGATTGCGAACTCGAATAGAAACATGACCATCATGTTGGGCCGTGCTTGCTGTATGACCGTGTTTATAGTGTAGTTCATAAGCCATATATCGTATATGACCGACATGGCTAAGGAGACCGAGAGTCGGATATGGAAGAGGCGTGGATTCGCGGGTGGCTGTTGCTCTAGGATCTCTACTCTCCCATCACCAATCCATCCCCAAACCTTGCCCGTCAAGAGCGCGACAAACATCACTAGGAACCATGCGCCCACCTCTTCCCGGAAGATTGTCATAGCCAAACATGTCTCTGTGACTGCGAACCATGACTTTTCGTAGAGCTGTTCGATTTCGATAGGACGAAGCGCACCATAGCAGAGCCTTTGAAGCCCGTACATCAGGCTCCCGTAGATAAAGAGGATCAGGTTGATGAGTATCTGTTGCGTTTGTAAGCCAACGGCTGTCTTCTGTCTCTGGGCTCTAAGCATACCATCAAGCACAAATTACTTTGCGACAAGTAGACACATGCTGAATAGAAATTTGCCCGCTGATTGAAGGCAGACACGATGACACCTCCTGCCAGAGCCGTCGAGACCTAGAGGATGTTAGCTACTTCGTCTTGATACTTGGAGCTTGAAGGAGCTCTTACCCCAGCATACCAGGCGAGCCGCCCCATCTTGCTGTCAACTTTGCAGCTTGGATCCAAGTGGAGGAAATCCTTGCCGATTTAAATATTCAAGTACCCATGCTTTGGCGTGATGGGAGAGTTGTTTGTTTGACAAAGGACAGTTGGTCGATTCATGAAGCTCTCACCTTCGGTAGGTATTTCAGCCACTGTGGCGTATTGGTTTATCCGAATGCCGACGGGGCGGTAATGGGGCTTTCACTGCATCATCCTCAACGAAATCGCTCGTAGAAATGTATAATGAGGCATCAAAATTCATTCAAACTACAATATTTCTTTGAGAATAATTTCTTTCAGCCACAGTATCTAGAACCTTTGCCCGCTTGCGGATGGATGGAATAGCATCCTGCCACAATGGCACCACCCCGAGCTATCACAACACCAGTACCGCTGAATTATGAGAACGGCTCCAAAACTTACCAGAACATTCTTGGTACCGGTACTTTGTTGCTGCTACAATGCTGGTCACACTGAATCAAGCTAAGGAAATCCTAGAAATATACCGGTAGACTTGCTCTGGGATGTGGAACCCCCCAAGCGAGCTCTCCACGCGATTTCTATTAACAACTGTATATCACGAGGCGGATGCGAGAAGCCTTCTTGAAAACCAGCTCTGTCGCTGGCGTTCCCACAGTACATGTAATAGCATCTAGATTCGGTTCCATTCTGACCATTCTTTTATTATATATCGAGGTCGCTATTAGATACATCTCTACTATAGCCTAGTATTATAGCGTGAACATCTGAACATCTTCGTCGCTTGACCTCATCATCGACACCAACACTGAAGCTATTCCCACTTTTACATTACCGTATCATCCTTGTTATGGTTTCCTCTTCTGTTCCCTTCATTCATTCCTTGCTTCCCTCCTTCCTTCCTTGCGACTCCTCCCTGGCCACATCCGATTCCACCCGTGCTTCTTCGCCTGTCTCTTTTATCGGTTTAGAATTTCCAGCAATACCTCAACTCTTCCAATCAACGGTTTGGCTCGCATGTTCTTCCAGCTTAGCCATTGTTTTGCAGCATTTACTCCATAATCCCAAGTCTTTGTCGTCTAGCGACTTAATTGGAATAGCCATTTGCAGCTCCGTAGGGTTATATGAAATATATGAAAAGCGTAATGCCTTCTCCGGGTCTTCTGGCACCAATGACTCGATATTGTCTAAGATGGTTTCTCCGGGTTGGTACCATAATACCTCACCATTCTTAGTGGGGCTCACTTGGGATCCATAATTTGCTTATAGCTGTAATCCTTTTAATATTCGCTTCGACAATACAAATACTATTGTTGATTTCCTTGTAGCAAGCTAGCAGGTTTGTTTACTATTTAGAATATTAATCTCGAGTAATGAATAAATATTCATAAAAATAAATCAACTTAGCCGTATAAAAGCCTTTTACTAATTGTTTAAATCCGTCGTCGAAACTCTTATATTTAGAAGGCCTGGTATGCTTATTGATATACCGGGCTTCTCTCTATAATCCGCGTAATTGATATAAGCTTATACTATATGAATCAAATGAAACTTTCTTCGGAAACACTTCCATAAGCGATAACTTCTCCTTCATAAGCTCCATTAAAGAGAAAGCTTAAGGCTAGCAAGACCGAGCAAATAGATTGCGATAATAGCATCATCATGGTTTGTAATTCTGTCGACAGTGCGAGCTGACGAAAAAGAATAGGCTTGCAAAAGAAGAAGATGGTAAGGAAGGTGATAGTAAAGAAGATGGTGGTAAAGATGGTAAAGAAGGTGATGGATTAATGTGAAGTAGGTGCAAAAGGGATCTATATCTCTTTTTTACAATGTATCTCTTGGACCATATTGATTATAAGTATAAGTAGACGGGTAACGAAACCTACCTCCCCCATTAATACAAGGCAAGATCCTATGGGTGGCACGGATAGACTTTTGCTGTGTTTTGGCTCATGCCAACCCTTGGGATGCTGCCCTTTATAGGTAGGTACACTGGGGGATAACTTCGTAGTATTCTCATATCGAAGATCATCCTAAATACAAAATCGAATTTACGCTTAGCTAACTATTCATAATATTGCAATATCTTTTTTTTTTCATTGTAAATTGCCTTTTTGGTATATTAAAAAGGATTAACGTATAGGCACAGATATACTCGTAATAATAAGCCGGAATAGGTCGGAGTGGATCGAGTCCTTAAACACGATACTTCGAGCTTTGATATACCGATCGTTCAGTTTGCTGCTCTTTGAAATCATGCTTTTCGTATAGTCTTGCCATACAAAATAATAATAGTCCCTAATCTGGCCCCTCAAGGCTCCCTGCCCCTCTTGTGCGCAAGATTATGCTAGCCTTTGCGTCCTCGATATACCTATCTAAGCCCTTCTGACCTCTGTACGTAAACCATCAATGCTCTCACGGCTCTTCAGGAGGCCAACCCCGAAAGACTCTTTTGAGCAACACCAGCATCCTGAACTCGGCCAAAACAAGTTATGTATTACTCGCAGCAACAATACCTCAAGATGTATGCCTACTCACACGTATGAAAAGAGAGCGTGGGCTACTTTCGAATACGTAAATCCACTGTTGAAAGGACGCTTGCGAGGCGCGTTAAACGGCGGGGCAACGATCGAAGGAGTCAGAGCAGTTGAAGACCTTGTAGTCAACATTTGTGAGAGTGCAGGTATGACCCGGCTTGAAGACACAGCGGTGGGGGGGATGAGGTTGGAGGGAAGAGGTTGCAAGCAGATGAAGATGTCCTGGACATTTTCGAATGATTCTAGCAGAATAGTGACCTCGGACGAGGTGATATGTCCATACTCGCAGAGATTCGGAGCCTCCCCATCGCCCTTGAACCGACAATTCCGGTACCAGCCTTGCTCGGTCTGAGCTTTGACCTGTTCTCGAATCTCAATACCGGTATTACTGTACTGTATGACTGGGCTTATCGATAACCTCGAGCAATGACGCACGAGGACGGAGAGACAGAGTCACGGCTCCTGCTGGGCAGCAATAGACAAAAATAGATGGACGAAATCGTCATTTCGCTTGTCGCTTCTGCCCCCTCTACGAACCTTCAGCTCTCTCTCCTGCGGCAGAGATGTCTGGAGAGCCGAAATTGAATCAATCGATACGCATCCTTTTCAAAGTGATTTTTTTATTTACCGGCGATTCCGAACGAGCCTTCCTCCTACCTTGACTATCACGCCGACTACAATATACTACGTATACCTGACGGGCATACCGACTGGGAAGATATTCAGAATGATCTACGATTTTGCGCCTTCGGAGAGTATTGCGCGCACTTGGCTGACCTTGGTCCGGCCTCGAATTTTACCGATATCGACACCGACATATGTGACGCTATAACGACGGCATTGTTGCCCTGCTCTCGTATAGGTTCTTCCTGACTTTGCGCAGTCGTGGGAACGTACGATTACGGTATCTGATTTGAAAACATCTCGCCAAGTGCCCGCTTTTTTTTCTTCTTTTTTCCTCTAATCGTCCGGGGTGTCTACAACTTTATTCTACGTGCTGTAGTAGTAGTACCTACGTAGTAGTACATTATTACTCTCCCCCCCCCATGAATACACGTCGGACCCAGTTTAGGCCCATAAATCATAGAGCGGTGGTTTCTGAATGGCTCAAAGCCTTGTAAATTCTATTGCACACACTAAAAACTGATCTAAGTATACTTTTTAAAGCTGAATTCTTATAAGTTGATTGGTTTAAGCCCTGGTAAGATCCCTTGCGAAATTATACTTTCGACATGTATTCATGGGGGAGAGTACTTGTACTACAGTACGTACGTAGTACGTAGTACGGTACTTCAAGTAGGTACTACCGGTACGTACATACTTCCTCGCAGGCCTAACCAACAAATCCTTAGAGAGCTTAGAATCCTATTCTCGAGGGTCGGAAGTAGAAAACATGGAGGAGAAGGATTTTAACCTTCCTAAGGATTTCTTGATTAGGCCTGCGAGCAGGTATATAATAGTCCATATCCAGCTTATCTGGTCGATCCCATGGATGCCTGGGCTTACCCTCAACCTCAACACCTCCTTACTTCAAACTCCATAATTCTACCCTAAACATGCAATTCAATATCTCCACCCTTCTTCTCCTCGCTACAGCGATATTCTCCGTCCATACATCACCTCTTGCCCCTCAAAGCCTGTCGCTTACGGAACGTGCAGAGAGCCTGTCGCTTCCGAAACGTGCAGAGGGCTTGCAAACACGGGAACCCGAGCCCAAAAGATTTCGCAAACTTGTAAGCCTCCGTCCTCTATTCGCAAAATTCCTTTCTTGGCCCTCTCCACCTCCAAGGGGGGTTTCCGTGGCGTCTGTGAAGAAGAGCATACGAATATCCAGCTTACACTTTTTATCTTAGAGGAAACACCGCAAACACAAGGCAAGCTTTTTCTTTTTCTTCCATTTCTTTTTTTTGTTCATTTACACTTATCATTCTTCCCTTGCGAAAAAAAATCCTCGAAACAGTTGCTATTGCTTGATTACAAACAAGTGGAATCCATAACACCCTCCGTACAGGCTAATAAAATTCCCTGGAGACTCCCGAAGAAGAAGATTAGTGCGCGATATTATGAAGCTGACTATTACAGTCCGACGACGACGACGACGACAACGACGACAGAAAAGAAAGTAATCGTCGGCGACTATTAGGGTTTCCAGCCTAGTCGTGAATAGATTCAAACATACTCGTGGGGTTAATTTTTATGAGTTGGATTTTCTAGACGAGGGAAATGGTTGTAACGACTGGGGAAACGATTGTAATGACGGGGGATAAGGCTAATGTTTTATATAAGTAGCTACGGATTGATTTAGTAAATATGAATTTATTATCACCTGACAAGGAAACAAGCTTACTCTGTAAACTCACTCAATCTTCCTCTAAACGACATCTCGCCACAACCCGACATACCGGAAGAAGATACCACACCTCGAGAGACTTTTCCTGAATACTACTAAATCCAGCCTCGTTGTACAATGCGTTCCACTTATGGCCGCAGTGCACTTTTGTCGCATGCAAGATTATTGACGGGCCCTTGCTTTTTCCTTCTTCAAAGACACGCACGCAGCAGGGGGGCATCGCTGGGACTCCCAGGATATTCCAATTGACAATGCATCAACCTCCACTCCACGTCGATCGTCTCTCCGTCACACAGAACGCCATGATTATCGTCCTGAAATAGATGGAGAGAGCCTACCTACCTGTATCGCGAGGAGATCGATCATCCTCAGACACACACCCACACCGAAACACACCGAACCCCCGTCTCGTGTTGTACATCCGTTGTACGAGAGGGCCGCGAACTGCATCTTTCTACTCTACTGTATATAGCAGTCGGTAACACGGCGTCTCATCTCGGGCGTCGGTCCAAGACCGTGGGGGACGGGACAACGATTACCCCGCCAGCACAGCAGGTTGCATCCAGGTCCAGGTCCAAGCCCCAGCTTCGTGCATGTCCATGCCACGCCCTTCGCCTATTTGCTTGCTGTTTAGGAAAGGGGTGACGGGTCACAGCGAGCGGGCAAGGGGGCCGGTCTGGTCTGTACGGAGTACCGTAGGCTTACTGGTCTAAGAGCAGAGCTGGAATGGAATGGATAGGAATGGCCGGAGCGGAGAGATTGTTGTCCCGCCCCGAAGCATTATAACGATAATGGCTGTGGGGAAAGGCCAGCAGGATAAGGAGAAGAAAGGAGAAGAAGGCCAGGAGATGGAGGCTTCATGTTTCTTGAAAGGAGACGGCGACTTTGCGCTACATCCTGTCCCTGCAGAACCAAGGGACCCCGAATTTGCACACGGGATTCTGCTACTCCGTACTACAACTACCATTTGAGGAGAGAGACCCTCGTGAGATATTGACAGCGGATGAACGCCAATGAGAGTGTCAAATTTGGCTATGTGAGACATTACTACCATACACAGCTCATCCCAGGGGATCTTTCCGGGCCGTTCTGATAGGGTAGAGAGAGGTACGAAATGAGCAATTTCTGGGCCATGGATGGGAGAAATCAAATCAAATAGGAAATCGCAGAGCCTCAGCGAGCCGAGCCGTTCAAAAATAACATCTTGAGCTTCGCAGATTGCGATTGGGCGAGGCCTTCAAGTTGATCGGCAGCAAAGGGAATTTGGCTGGGGTCAGTCGTCCGGGGAAGGGAAATTGGGCATTTTACCGTACGGACATGGCAGAACAGCACACTTCCTTTCCAGGCAATGCTTGCGATCGCAGAGATACATTCCGCTTTGAGTGGTGGTTCTGCATGTCTATCTGGGCTCTCTGCAGCTTCAAGCGACACTCTCCTCTCACAGACCCGGATGACCGAAAGTCTCCTCATTAATCGAATAATAGCATTACTCGCCGTTGCGTCCGATATCAGCGACCACCGCGAATCGTCCGGCCGCAACTCTTCCAGGGGAGATTGAAGGGATTCTGGGCGGTTTATACTAGCAGAAGCGACCACGGCCCCAGTTTCCCCATGCTAAGATCGTTAAGATCACCTCCCGCGAGTACTCCACTATACAGCGATTAGCAGATGGCGGCGCGGTTTGCGAAGTTGCGGCCTCAACGTGGCGGCTTCATCCCTAAACTGTGCCTGGTGGAGAGACATGATTATAAAAAGATCTGTCACCCGATATGCTTTAAGTACGAATAGATAGCAGCAGTATCGCCAGAAGTCACGTCGAGGAGCAGACGCTCAGGATCTTATGGCAGCGGATCATGGCCTCTTGGTGGAGGCGTTGCCTTCGCTGGGTATCGCACTGCATACCAGGCTAGGTAACCTAACCTCAATCTGCTCACCGGCCAACGCCGTTGTTGATCTCGTCTTACTCACTCCTGCCGGTCTTTTCCTCCGTCCCGCCAGCATTCTCTCCGTTCGGGATATAGCTCTGGTAGGCCTATTCAATCCAACTTGATCATTGGCTTGCATACGGCTTCTCCGCTTGACGCCAAACTCGGCGTACCCGATACTCTGTACTGCACTGCCCGTAAGCACTGCACGGAGACTGACTGGCTCAGTGTTTGCAGCCCTATGAGCTGCAGCAGGGTCAGGGGTATAGCGAGCGAGCGGAAGTCAAATGCGCTGGAGCCATCAGTCGACCACGGCTTTCGAAGCGTGGCATGCCAGACATGCGGATGTGCAGATAGCGTTTGCATCTCTCCACTGCGCGATCGAATTCCGCATACACCGCTGGTTGTGCGGTGAGGCGTCATGGACAACTTGGTACCATAAAACATTTCGGACTGTCCATGAAGCCATACCTTACCATCCGGAGCACACACCGAACGTTTCGAGGACTCTGACTCCACCTCGCACTCGATATCACGCACGGCCTCATGCACTGCAATCCGCAGCACTGTGTTATGGGATCATGGGCGCTCGTGAATGAAGGTGATTGATAGCTTCTCGCCATCCCCAAGCGACACATTCCTACTCATCACGATGTTCTTAGTCACGGGGAGTTGCGATCGACAATCAGACAACCCAGATCGCCTCCGTGTTGCTGCGGTGATTTTGCACTTTTGCGATTTCTCGGGGAGTTCGTGCAATCAAGGTCTTACGAGATCATTCGGGTCCTGTTGGTGTTCAATATATACCTATATAAAGGTAGGTATGCAGGCTCGCAAATGGACCTATGGAATGTGCCACTCGCGTCCCCAGAAGTAAGAAGTATTGAATGCGGGCACCTGCATTGGGACTTGAAGTTGAAACTAGGTAGGTAGGCGACACACACCCTTATCGTACTCGGTCAGTTTCCCTTGATCCTCTCGCGCTCTCCTCACACCGTTGCAACCGAAGGACCATCCGACGGGACGACGGGAATCTGCAACGGTTCTTCTGCGGGAAAAGGCCTGTCAGATTTTGAGTTCCAGGCCGGTTCGGTGGGGGAGGCGGGAATCTGATCGCGACAGCCCTTGCAGGCCATGACGATGGAAAGCAAGAGCTCTCCGGAATCTAGTACTGTAGTAGTACTATCTACGTAAGGCTGAAGAACCCAAGAGCTCCAGACAATATCCGACAGCCTGCAGCCGTGAGCAGGGTAGGGGTTTCTGTGAAGCGAAAGAGGGCCACTCGCTTCGAGTTCTGGATTAGCGGTAGCATTACTTAGCAATTCGTTTGGGAGCGATAGAGGCTTTGCTTTGGGCCGGTGTTCAAGCCACGATGTGAATCAAGTTCCAAGTCCGGACGGTCAATTTCCAAGCACTGCACTAAGTACAGTAAGTAGTAGTACCTACTGAACTGAACTGGGCTGTACCCGAGAGATTTGGGAAAATCTGCCTCGTCCCGCTCCCGCGTCGTCTGATCCCCGCACACTAAGCATGATCGACCTGGATCACGCAGCAGGGGACCTCGAGCATCCTCGGTGACCCGGATCTGGATGGATGGATGGATGGATGGGTGGATGGGCTGGATATGGATCATGATCATGATCATCATCCATCATGATGGTGCCCGCGTCTGGGCATCTGCCACAGAAACATCGGAGCACTGCGGACAACAAAGAGCATTGGGAGAGTCAGAGGAGTGTGCAAGCTTCTTTTCTGTGCATCACAAACCCTTCGATGCGGGCGGGCATGATGGAGAGATGGGGGAGATGGGGGAGATGGGGAGAAGAAGAAACTGACTGACTCGGAGAGTGGCTGTGCGCCGGCCGGCTGTGCCACGCCTAAATATAGTAGTAGGCTGGTGGTGCAGGGCACTCAGTCGTATTGTAAGCTTTTTGAGCCAATTGTTTCCTCCGGGCGTACAGTACGGAGTGCTTCCGTACAGACCTCGGGACAGGGGGCCCTGGGCTGGAGGGACCGAGCCACACTTTCTCCCTGTCTGCCCGGTCTGCCCTGGCTGCCCTGGCTGCCCTCCTTGCCCTGTCTGCCCTCTCTTCACTGCTGGCTACCCCCTTGAGAAACCATCCCCACGAATGGGGGTGGATGCCAGGCGGGAGGCGGGAAGCGTGGATGATGGATGATGGATGATGGATGATGGATGGATCGCCCGGTGGTCCGCGCCGCACCGCACCGCACCGCACCGTCTATAGTGGTCCCGTTCATCGATGCCCCCTCCGTCCTCAAAGACTGCTCAACGACTCCACAAATGTCTGCTGGTACCGTACTCGGTCGTGTGGGTAGTTGTTGGACAACGGCGCCTCAAAGTCTTGAGGGTTGCAACATGTTCGCATGGTACCCATTCGAGCAGGCTTTTTGGAAGGCTGTGGTGTCTATCAGTCTATCTATCACCTTACCGTACCGTACGTACGTACGTCCGTACGGTACTCACCGTCCCAGGGCCGGTGAGGTAGGTGAGGTACGTCCGGAGGGACTGACGGGAGTGATGCAACAGAAGCAAAGAAGAGCAACGCTCTGTGGTTGGTCCGGGCTACGAAAGCTTGGTATATGGTATGATACCGTATGCGGGCAGTCAGTCAGTCCGTCAGTCAGTCAGTCCGTCAGCCAGCTGGTGGAGGGACGGTGGGGGTACTTTGGTCGTCAGTACAGTACTTGGCTTTGTTTACTGTGTACAGGACTTCTGCTCGGTAAAGGTCGCCAGGCGCCCCGGGGCATTATTGATTACAGGGGCATAGCAGATCTCTGGGGCGAGTGGCTGGTTTTACTTACAGACAGACCCCGGACCTGGACTGGACTGGACCGGACCGGCTGCGCATTTCTGGCTTGGCTCAGAGTAACTCAACCCCATCTCACTACGTACAGTAACTCACCATCTCACCAACTCACGAACTAACCATCTCACGAACCAACCAGCGAGTCGCATATCATTATAATCTGGAGATCCCATCAACATCATCACCCTCCTCTTTCTCCTTTCTCTCTCGACCCACTCACTCACTTACACATACAATCAAACATACATCTACCATACATACATACATACATACATACCTACATACCTACATACATACATATATATACATATATACATACATACAGCCCCAGTCCAGCTCAGCCACCGATCAAGCAATCTAGCTATCCCTCTCGCTCTTTGCCTAACCATACCTTTTCCTATATATCGTCCCGTTGAACCCGACTCCTGTCTCAGATCACATTAGCAGATCGACATTCCGCCTGCCTGCCCTTATAAAGTTCGGAAGATCTGCAAAGCATCCAGGCAAGGCAGCTTTCATACCCCCCTTCAACCTGGGCTACAAATATTCCCCAAAAGAGCTGGAGGTCCCTTAGCATTGAAGAGGTATGATACCTTAGATAGAGATGGCATCTATAGCTCTTTCGCCTGTAACTTTTACTTTTACCTTCACTTGTACTGATTTCCTCACAGACGAAGGGTGTGGTGGCTTCAACCCCCAGACAACAAATAGCAGCCCGCCAGCCCGCCAAAACTTATCTTTCTCTCAATCAACTCCGCCAAAATGAGCTCCGCTACCACCCAAAAGATATACCACGAGGAGGTTGACTTTACTCTCTACCCAGATCCCAATATGTTCAACAATTTTCCCTACAGCGCGGCGCAGAATTACAACATGGAAGCAGCCTACGCATTCCCAGGAGATGATGGTTACCCTACAAGCACCGGACTGAACACGGCGGCCATGTATGCTGAAGCTCCACAATACGCCGCTGCTCTCGAGTCGCCCGACCTTCGGGCAGCACCTTCCAACTACTCGACTGCATCTGGGCCGTCGGCAACATCTTCGGCCATGGGGTCACCACACTCCATCCATGGTCACGCCGTCTCTCTCCCAGAATGGGCCGCCCATGGCCTGGGATCGAATCCCAGCATCGTTTCGTACGATAATTACTCCCTCGGCAACGAGTACAGCTTTCAACCGACAGGTATGGACGACTTTGCTTTCGAGTTCCAGTCCAAGCCCAATGGCTTTGTTGGTGAGTGTCAGGCCGCTACTCCATCCCTTCCTCAGCACGGTTCCACCTCGTCAAATTGCGAGTCGTTGTCTCTTCTCTCTACGTTGGTCAATTCTCCGAAAGAGATGGACACTCCGACAGGTCGGATGAGAAATGGCTCTGCCTCATGGTCAATGGCTTCCCCTGCTACACCCGTGAGCGCAGCCAGATCTGACTGGCGAGATGAAGTGTTCAGATCCCCCGTTTCTTCCTTTTCAATCTCTCCTACAGACTCTCGACGCCCTTCGCAGGCCTTTCATTATTCTCCTCTGTGCGGCTCTGTTACCCGGACGCAAGAACTGCGATCCCCTATCTCCGCAGGCTCTCAAAACTCGGCTGCCGAGATGTCTCCATCTCGCGTAACATTCCACCCGTCTCCTTTCTTTACTCAATCTAGTGGCAATTTCGTCGCGCCTCTCCACTCTTCTTGTCGGTTTCCTCTCTTGTCAATCCAGCGTGTTCCCCTTGATCGATACATCAAATCGCTTCTTGTCGCCACTCGGCTAATATGCTTTTCTCTAGACCCATCAATCCTCCACCCTCAATATACCGCTCGCCCGACATGCGCGAGACAGTCGAACGAAGATTCTGTCCACCCACCACCCCCATACCCCGGGTCACCATCCCTCTCGTCACACATCGCGAGAAGCCCGAGACCGATGAAACAGGGGAGCCAGTCGCCTTACTCCCACGCCTCCACGTATCCTTATCCGCCCCCTCGCCGACCATCGATCCAGTCATACGGCAGCCAGGATGGCAATTTCAGCAGCGAGGAGTCCAAGGAGAAGGGTCGCTGCTCCTATCCTGAGTGTGGGAAGGTGTTCAAGGATCTGAAGGCGCACATGTTGACTCATCAAACCGAGCGACCGGAGAAGTGCCCGATTCAAATCTGTGACTACCACGTCAAGGGATTTGCGCGTAAGTATGACAAGAACCGACACACCTTGACCCACTACAAGGGGACGATGGTTTGTGGTTTCTGCCCCGGGTCAGGGTCTGCGGCAGAGAAGTCGTTCAACCGCGCCGACGTCTTCAAGCGACACCTGACCTCGGTCCATGCGGTCGAGCAGACACCGCCCAACTCGCGGAAGAAGACCTCGGGCAACGTCAACAGCGTCAAGAAACCGTCCGGCTACGCCCCCGACGCGACCGGTAAATGCTCAACGTGCTCTGGGACTTTCAGCAATGCTCAAGACTTTTACGAGCATCTGGACGATTGTGTCCTGCGCATTGTGCAACAAGAAGAGCCATCGGAGGCGATTAATGCTGCCCGACTTGCCGAGGTCGAGCAGGACCCGGACGTGCACCAAACGCTCCGCAACAACGCCTTGCCTCTCACCACGACCACGACGACGACGACGACGACTAGCTTCTTAGGGGACGAGGAGGACGAGGAGGACGAATTCGACGACGAGAGGGATGATGACTTTACGCTGCGCTCCCGGACCCGCACGAACAAGAATCGCAACCCGGTCAACGGGGTCCAGAAATCACGCGGCATGACTCACTCCAAAGGAGGCGTCACGCTCAACACCAAGGGCCGCAAGAAGCGCAAGGACTACCCGTCATCCTGGGGCTGCCCCATCTCCCAGATGAAGATGAAGAAGCGCGTCCTCTGCGTCTTTGACGGGCCCCGGCGCCTCTGGAAAGACGACATGATGCTGAACACGGACTACGAGGTCCGCATGAAGCTGCAGGACGAGAAGGCCTACGTCACCGATCTCGACGTGCAGACGATGCGCCGCGCCGACGCCTTCCACCACTCGACGGCGGAGGAGAAGGGGCCGTGGGTTAGTGATGATTTGACTGGTATGGACTTGGAGAAGCTGATGGAGGTTCAGCGTGAGTGATGAACTGTGCACGAGAGGGAGAGAGGGAGGGGGGAGGGAGATGTGCATATATATGTATGTGGATGTGTATGTGTATGTGTATCACGAGATACCATTCCTCCAGCCTGATGTTTTTGTCCTGTACTGTTTTCGTTTTACATCTGGGGCTTTCTAAAGAGGCGCACACGGCTGGGAGGGAGGGACGATACCATTTTGCGCGAGAGGAAATACAAAGACTTTTGCATTCGATACTTTAACCTTTTTTTTTTTTTCTATTTCTGGGGAGCAGGAGGGTGAAGTTTTAAGTATCTCAATGGCATGCATGCATGTATATGTTTTGTTCGAGGTCGCAGGCCGCAGGCCGCAGGTCGCAGGCCGCAGACCGGTTCGCACATCTCTTTATTTATCTATCCATCCATCTATCCATCCACCTATCCATCCATCCATCCACCGGCATTCCTCACCCTATTAACCTTACAACTGCAATTACACTATACAAATCAAACTTTAAGCAAAATGCTCCAAGTCCCAAGTAGCAAGCTCAAAGTGCAAGCTTTTTCCTCCTCTTCTTCTTCCTCCTTTCTTTTTACGCTTTACCTTTTTTTCCATTTAACAATCCTTCCTCAACTACGCAACTATTTCATCATGCCTTCTTCGAAAACTATTCTGAAAAAGCGCTATTTA